GTTTGACTTCAGCAGAGGGAGGATCCAGAGAGAAGTAAAGGGAAAGCCGCAGGGCCGGGAGGAGGAAGTGAGGCCGAAGCGTGCCGAGGGCTCTCGGGAAGAAGGGACGGAGATGGCTGGTGGCCGAGAGGAACCGCATAGCCGGGACGAGCTGGAAAACGAGCCGGGAGGATCCCCGAGGTCGGACCGGCAAGGGGAAGTGGCGGAGGGAGGGGGGAGAGCGAGGCGAGAACATTGATCCCACAGCGGAGCAGGAAATGGGATAGAGGGATCGTCGCATAGGAGAAGGAGAAGGACAGAGTAGGCAAGGCAGGAGAAGACAAGGAGACACTAGCCAAGAAGCAGGGGGCAGAGGTGAGGGAGAACACTGAAAGAAAAATGTGGGTGGACACTCCACAACACACCGAGGAAAGAATAAAACTGGGAGCTGGGATGGAACCAATATGGAACACAACAAGACAGGAGACACAAGCGTCATGTGAAGACCTGAAGAGGGAAATGGAGCTCAGAGTGAAAGAAGAACTAAGGGCTCAGTATGAAGAAGAGTTCCGAAAGAAAAAGAGAGAATTGAGTGAGCAATATGAGGACAGGCAGAAGAGAAGAGAGACAGAGCTGAGAGAGGAGCAGAGAGACACCAGGAGGAACAGGCTCAGAGAGAGAGAGAGCTCACAGAAGGATTTCTGAATGAGATGGAGGAATGGAGACAGAAAGAAGACCTGCAGAGGGAAATGAAGGCAGAGAAAAAGCAGTCAGCACAAGAGCTTGACAGGAGAGCAGAACAAATCGAGAAGATGACTGAGAGCTTAGCTGAAGAGAAAAGAAGGACAGAGTTCGAGGAGGACCCCACAATGAGGAAAGCCGTGCATCATGATGAAGAGGAGAACGAGGAACGAGAAAGGCTTGAGAGGCTTTCCAGAGACATTAAGAGGTCGTACGAGGAGAATCTGAAGAGAAAAGTGAAGGAGCTGGAGGAGAGATACAGGGAGGAAGAGAGCAAGGTCATGCAGGAAATGGAGACGCTCAAAGGGGAAATCGCCTCTGAACGCCAGAAAAAACTAATCAACCAGGAGAAGTATGAAGCGAAGTGCCGGAAACTCAAGAAGGCCAAAATGGACAATGATGCAAATTACAGAAAAGTCGTTGGCAGAGCATATGACATCACGAAGAACTGGGAAGAAAAACTAGCAGTGGTGGAGGAGGAGCTTCGCCAACGTACTGAGCAGTTAAAGGATCTGAAGGGCGAGGTGAA